TGACTAGTGTCACGCCACGTTTTTAGAACTATCGGGGACCTTGGCGAGTGCTCTAGCATTTACTAGATATAGGGTAGTCTGGTATATAAAAGAGGGTGACAACGTAACGGGACAATAATGTGTGTGTAGGTAGTGAGTAATTGATCTGCAGTGAGAAAGTATTATTGAAGTTGAGCACGTTCGTTGTTATAGCGTTTGTTTTAGCACGATTGTTGAAATTAAGTGTATCGTAAAGTTATATTCGGAAAGAATAAACCAGTTTTATTAAGTAAGAACTTGTGTCGCTAAAGTTTCGTCGGAACAAATTTACGGAAAATCAATTAACAAACGGAGACGTAACAAATTGGTGTCAGAAGTGGGATAGAAAAAAAAGAGAAGAAGATGGAAACGAGAGGCGGAAAATCTAACTACTGCTTAGCAGATTTGATGCCAGCAATACCCGTTCTTCTTGTTTCTTTTCTTGTTTAGAAATTAAACAAGAGGAGAAATTACGGCAGTTGTTAGAGGAAAAAGAAAAGAAACAAGAAGAACGAGAAGTTAAACAAGAAGAGAGATTACAGCAGTTGTTAGAGGAAAAAGAAAAGAAACAAGAAGAACGAGAAAAGAAACAAGAAGAAAGATTACAGCAGTGGCAAGGAAACCTACAACAGAATGGCAGCTCGAACAGCAAAATAAACAAGAGAGATTACAACAGTTGTTGGAGGAAAAAGAAAATAAACAAGAAGAACGAGAAAAGAAACAAGAAGAGAGATTACAGCAGTGGCAACTGGAACAAGAAAGGAAACAGGTAGAAAGTCTCCAACTGTTGCAGGAAAGTTGCCACTGTTGTTGAGAAGTACAAATGGAAAAAACATTAGTAAATTTAAAAGCGAATTAGATACGTTAAAGAACGATTTATTGTCTGTTACACAAGGAGGATACATTGACCATCGGCTTAATCAGCCCCAGACAATGGCAAGCCCCTTACAGAGCCCTCAGCTAAACTCTAATGCAGACATATTCTGTCCCGTTAGAAGTCACATCCCCAATATGAATGTCAGTAATAGGAGTGATCCAGTGCGAAGGAAGCCACTTGAATTCGATGGGAAGGCACCGTGGGAAGCATATAGAGCACAAATTGAGCTACTGGCAGAAATGAATGGATGGACAGAGAAGCAGAATACTGTATATCTGGCAACGAGCTTGAAGGGACAACCACTGGAAATACTTGGACAGTTGACAGCAGCCGACAGACACAACTATAAAGCACTGGTAGAGGCTCTGGAACTCAGGTATGGAACCCAGAATCAGTCAGAAGTCTACAGGGCTAGGTTTAGGACGAGAATCCGTGCTAAAGGGGAAAGCCTGCAAGAGCTGGCACAAGACTTGGAAAGCATGGCACACAAGGTCTACCCAACTGCACCACCCGATCCCCTCAAGTTGTTGCTGAGGGATCAGTTCGTAGATGCCTTGGACAGTCCACAACTTAAGATACAAGTGAAGCAAGCACACCCCTCTACCATGCAGGAT